GGTTTACACTGTAAACCTCTTCTCTGTACAGCACTACTACTACATACAGTTGTTTTTGGGACATTGAAACATTGTTGCTGAGAAACTAGACTGATCTAAGTGTTACGCAAACTCTAGATTGGTTAATAACTTGTAATGTGATGCAAGGTATCATGGAAACAGACTGTATGTTGGCTCCCAATGCTGCTCTTTGATTGATAGTCTAAACGTGATATTGGCAGAAGGGATTGTCTGGTTACAGGAGAGCAATTAAGACGTTGATCAATAGGTTAACAGCCTTTGAAAAGGACAGATGCTGAGGATCTTTTACAAGGCCCTTGGACCAGTCGAGGAGAGAGCCATTTAGCTAGAAGGCTCTGACTCAACTGATGAGGTCAGTCAAATCAATTGTAGTGCCTATCATTCAGAATATATATTCACCATTCAATACTTGTCGAGCTCGTAAGCCAAGCTGACTGTAATGTGTCAATGCAGGTGTGATAAACAAAAGCAGAGAGCCACATAACAGTGTCAAGGTTAACATAAAGTCAATAGGGATATAGGCGAAGAATATTACGAAAGAAAGGATCAAATACATTTTGCACAATGTAGAGCAGTAACTTAGCTTGCACTTTAATGAGGTTTCCAGTAAATGTGATATATCAAGGTCACTTTGAGTATTTGTGCATATTAAGAGATATTAGATTAGATGTCCTGGACTTAGGCCAAAGGACTGGGGGACAGGAAGAAAAAAGGCAAACAGTCATGGAAGCCACATCGAGGACTTGGTGTTAAGGCCCTATTATGCTTTTTTAAATGTTCCTCTTTTCAGTAGTGTGTAATATACGTCTTTGTGCATGTAAATGGGCTGTAAATGCTTAAATCTCAAAGTTTACGCCAGAGGGAGTTTCCCTACAACACACTTCCGCCGTGCCTGAAGCGCCTCGATTGGCCTCCTTTGTTTACGTCTACATATTGACATCAGTATGTAACACTCATGTTTCTGTTGGCTAGCGCTCCAACACATTGTACGTGATAGGCTAAGGGGTCACCACAGAGCCAGCCAGCTAACCAATCAGAGCAGAATGGGCTCTGGTTTCAGACAGAGGGTGAAAGTGGTGCTGCAGCACAGGCAGTATGAGAAAAATAAAGCATGACTCGAGCGCACAAACCAAATCTGATGTCCTTTTCCCTTCAGTATGTTGCAGAAAGACATAATAACACTGTTTTATTGTCTATTATCTTATGGAAACATAATGCAATTCAAATGAATCACTGTTATTTAAGATTTGGCCATTCAAACGAGTTGACCAGGACCATCTCCAAATCTTTGAAACTATTTTGCGTCCTGTTCTTCCCCGTTTTCAGCAGTGACATGAATGCATGCTGCAGCATTATACTCCAGAGAGAAAGAGGTACTTCTCCAAAGTAATCCTTGTTATTTGCTGGCACTGAAGCAGACACTCAGAAAATCTCCCCTTTTGGCTCGAGTACAAGTTTCTCCTTTGGTTTGTGTCCAATGTGCAATGACAGAGAAATAGAGCAAGGCAGAGTTGCCAACAAGAACACATAAATAATAGGAATAATGTTAAAGAGAAGAGAGTAATAAACTAAATAATAAAAAGGAGATTTTTTATCCGAAGCAAATTGTGATTTTGATAATAGGAGCATTGATCATGAATGAGTTTCACAAATAGAGAGAAGAGTCATAGTTATAGAGGTTGTGGGTTATTAACATGGTTAAGTCTCCCAATGCACCTGCCCTGAGCTTCCTCCCATCCTCTCTGCAGCTCACTATTAAGTAAGGCCGGATGGGGATGGTGTGGCTTTCCAACCTGCCATCAGCCAGCTGCTTTATCAGGCTCCCGGGGACAAACACAACAACCGGTATGAAGCAGTGGTGGTGGTGTTGCCAGGAAATAAAAGCATCACCATCATTTTCACCATGTTGAGGAAATGTCACCCTTAGAGAGCAGCATGTTATGGATTGGGGCTCTGTGGGTGTTGTTTGGGCAGATTGGTTAGTATTAAGGTCGGATATAACTCTTACTTTACAGTACCCATGAGCCTCAGCTGCTGTAGCCATGCAGAATAGAGTTGTGCAGAAATTAGTCTTAAACCCCGGATATAACATTGTACGTGTCTGTAATCACCATACATGTGAATGTCTGAAGCATCTCTATATCATAAAAACGGTGGTTGCTAACAACCGACTAAAATATACTAATAAACATCATCACACCAGCACGAGACCGCCTTTACTGTAGCTTAGCAGTGGTGATGCACAGCGCTGTGACCATGATGTAGTTCGTTTATAGCCTAGCGTTAGCTTTTGACTTCTGGTAATTGCTTATACACTTCAAAAATCATGTTTTGTTGTGTTAATATGTGGAGATGATGCTGAAAACCATGTGTAAGTATCATGAATATGTGTTTGCCACAGAGCATATTTCTGCCGGAATCCAACGGAAAAATCACCTTGCTTTTTGTGGAGGGACACCTTAGCGATGCCAACTTCTGCCTACAAAACTACGTCATCGCTGCACCACTCTATAAATATAATTATTCGTCATTGTAGTTGTAAAACAACCTGGCTGTCTCTTACAGATTTTTTTTAGTAAGCAATTTAATTTATTTTGTCTCTTTTTTCGCTAATTTGGTAATTCCACAAAATGTTCCCGGCCACAGTTTTGCCTTTGGAGGCAAACATTTTGCATTTTGATCAAGTGTCTGTGAGGTTCTGTCTTTGAATGAACATGGAACGTGTGTATAATTAAAATGATAGTTTTTTTTTTTTATGTTAGCCATTTTTGTTTTTACTTTGCCAGATAATATTTTGGTAATTCCACCTTGTAAGAAGCAGATTAAGAAAACTGGTGTTCAGGGCCTCTTCACATTGTACATTGTAAACTACAACCTTATGTGTTTGTCTGCGGCTGATGTTCCTCAGTCTAACACTTTCTACAGTGCAGTAACTTATGTAAGAAGAGTTGGAACATTTCTGCCTTAATGTGGTGGCTGGTCTGCACTAAGGGCGGGATGAATTTAAGTTTGACTTCATTACATTGTTCTGTCCTACTTCCCTTTTACACTTGCTGATTAACTACAGTATAGTTACTCAAATCTTCCTTAACCCCTTTAACTAAGATCAACAGTATTTAATACTTTTACGTATACGTATGTATACTTTTACATTTGTTCCTTCACTGGAACTTACTGTAGAAGAGTGGCAGAAGGGGATAGAGAAAGATGAAGACTGTTTGGTTCAGAGGTTATTACTCTCTTTTGGATCTATCCAAGCTCTGCTACAGTAAAATGTTGATAACATAACCTGCCATGTGTTGACTGTGGTCTAACTGTGGTCTATATGTTGACTTACCCCTTGGCATTGAAACCCTTGTGTTGTTACACACCAGGATACATGATTTAAGAGGAGTCTGAAAATAAAGAACATGTTACAATTTGAAACATTTATTTGAGGCCCCAGACAAAAGAGAAATAGTAAGGTGTCATTGTTTTGAAAATCAGCATTACATATACAGTAGTCAATATTAAAACGTGTAAGCGTCGTTACAATTCATCTGTGACCAAAAAAGATCACGTAAAACAGTGAGAAGAAAAGGAAAACACAACCATGTGTTCAGAATTGTTTCATGAAAAGTATTGTACATTTGTCAAAGGTAAAGTTAAAGTAAAGGACAGTCTTCTGTAGTTATCTGAAATTGAATGATGTCCTGCAGTCATTGAATAAGATTTGGAAATGGCAGCTATTGTATCATGTGCTACAACAACAGGGACCATGTGGGTCCAATAATCATACAATTCTAAAAAATTCATTATAAAATGTTATGAATGTCCTGAAAGCTAAATTGCCTTCCGATAAATTGGAACATTCCTCACTATGATGTCCTCTTACCTGTAGAACTTCAAGATAAATGCTATAATCATTTCCTGGATATTACTTTAATTCAGTAGAAATATAGAAATAAAAGAACCATCCAAAATCAAAACTAAGGTTATTTATTTTAGCCACAGTAGATTCTAACAATTGAACTATCCTTTTGATTTTCAGCAGGGACCTTTACTTATTAGATTCAACTGATATTGTCTGTTCTGACAATTGAATCTGAATATTATTGTTTCAGTATACAGTGACACCTGTGGCAAGCTATTAACAGGCATTACACTTTGCCTTTTCTTTTTTAGTGTAGTGGAGCCTCACTTCAGAGTGTTTACCGCGACCTATCTTTGGTGTTATGAAGTGACTGAGCTCGTGAAATGTCTACGGGAGGGCGGGGGAGCATCGCTGCGGGGCAACTGTGGACCTCTGTCGCCTGTCAGCGCAATTTATATGATGCCGTTTAAAAAAATGAAGGGCGGTGCCGGGCCGTCAGCGTACCGAGCCGGCCGTCAACGGCCCGCTGACGACCGGCCGTTCTGTGATTCTCCAGGTCCGCCCTGTATTCCACCGGGTCACCGCAGCACCGCGGTGCAGACGGACCCGCTGGAATACAGGGTCTACCGCGTTAAGGAACCGTTAAGCAGAACCGAAATTGTGTATTTTGTATGGGTACCCGGTACCCGGCATTTTCTTATCGGTTCTCATCTGGAACCGAGTTTCGGTTCCCAACCCTAGTGACAGCACAATATATTTGTTTACCACATTATTGACAATCAGCGTATCAAATTTGTATGTTCAAAAACTCCTTGGATTAATATGAATAAGAATCAAATGTTCATATTTTCAATAATATTGACTTCTGCTTTCTAGGGAAGGTGAGGAAATGTCTTTGAAACAAACAACTGATACATTTTTGTGTTCAGTATTTTAGACAAAATTATATTTCACTTTATACTTCAAAAGTTCACCAGTAATAGCTGGGAGTTTTTTGTGCACATAAATAATGTATATATAAATCGTTCCTCAGATGTCTTCTCCTTTTCTTGCACTCTTTAACTGACTATAATGTTACAGTTGTATACATGCTTACAAGTGTGTTATCTTTGTCTTCTCATTTTAGTCATGGACCACTGACATTGAGTGGTTTGGCTGAATAAGCTTCCCACAGAGGTGATTAATGAACTATGATACCGTGAGCAGTTACATTTGAACTCCTACAACAATGTGGGAAACTAGATGAGACCAGGCTGCTCTTGAGAATATGTTCTCCAGGAATCGCTTCAATGGACAGCATGGAGCAGGTGTTGCCCCAAAAGAAGGCACAAAGGCAAAAATCCATTCACCCAAAAAGAGGGCTCCGAACCCCAAGGTAGCACTAGTTATCAGGGGTAAAATACATCGTCTCTTGCAAGGTTCTGCCGACCATCATGTCCCAGATTCCCACCTTTACTATGGAGGTATTGAGGAGGAAGAGGGGGAAACACAGGAGAGCAGAAAGGAGCACGGAAGCAGATATCCAAAGGTTGGCCCGAGGGCTCAAGCTTATTCTCCAAAATTGTCAAATGGTAAAGGACATGGAGTAGCAGTGGGCCTACCATGTGTTGGAGAGGTGGAGCTTAATAGGGAAGGATGTTTAAGAATACCTTGCACTTTGCAGCAAAAAAGCAGCAGATCTCCAGGAAATCGGAAACGAATCTCCTTTGAGGGTGAAATTCGAGCAGCTCCTGAGCAAATGCAAACATGTCCACCCTACTGTCCGATAGAACCAGATATGAATGGAACTAAATTAGCAGGGGCAGCCAGAATGGAATTTACTTCACCCCGTATTCGGCCAAAGAGACCTTTTTCTACTGGTGACTGTGTGGACTACAACTTCAACAGAGCTCTGCCAGGCGCACTGCTGGAAGAGGACGAAGATAAAGAGGAGGAGTCAAGTGCTATCATTGAGCACATTCTTAAAGAGCTAAGGGGGATCAACAAGATACAAGAGGAAATCTCTGACCTCAGGGATTATCTGACCTCAGTTCGAGGGTCAGTTGAGGAAGTGTCATCTTGTGTAGATGCTGTCTTGATGGAGATTGAGGGTATTCGTTCTAACAAGGCTGGTTCAGGGGTTCATTCAGGTACTTGGTCGGGGGTGGGGTGCAAAGATGGACCATCCACCCGAAGAAGGCCTGCCAGTGCTTATGGAAGTTTAGGGAGTGCAATGCCAAAGTCTGCTTCAAATCAATTCCCCCAGATCGGCAATGAGCGCCATAGCATCCATGGAGAATTGCTGTTATCAAGGCCTGAAGAGTCTAGTGTGTCACCAATTGCTGAATCAGTGGATCAACAGGATCTGGAAGAACCAGAAGATACCTCTGACCATAGCTCCGATATCCCAGTAGGTGCCATAGCAAGAAAGCTCAGCTTTGGCTACGTTGAAAGGCAGGATGGTCATGATTGTCAAAGTACCAGCTCCTTGTCTTCTGGTCATAGTGAGTCAGACCTAGAGAGACCATCCTCTAGTCATGGTACGAAACAGCAAAGAGCAGATGACAGCGAGGAACATTGGCCTAACAAGGGACCACCATATGGTGCCTCTGGGGAATCCGTGTGGCATAGGGAAACTGCTTACCGCAGAGACAGATGTCGAGAGGACCATGAAGGTGAGAGCCCTCTTTGCTGTGAAGGAGCTGGTAGCTGGGATCACTACAGAGGTGCAGAACATCTCTCTCTTCGATCTGGTAAACATTACAACTCACCAGCTAGTACTTCTAGCAGGGATGAGTGGCGGTCACGGAGGAGAAGGCCTCAAACCATTTCTGCCATTACTGTTCCAACAGAAACAGACCTTGTAAAGCCCACTGCGGGATATGAATGTCCTGCTGATTGTTCCTACCATCAAAGTTCTGGTTATCATTCAGTTGATGGACATGATGGAGAAGGAGAGGAGTTTAACTATGGGCAATTAAATGACCCGAACTATACGACAGACAGTCATGTAGATAGTTATGAGGAAACGTATTCAGCATACGAAGATTCTTCAGTAGTGACATGGACTGAGGCATCCTTATGTACCACTGTGGCTGATGTGGATAGGGATTTTATTCAAGAAACTGGAGCCAACAATCAAAGCTTAGAACACCAAGTGTCTCACTCTGGCAGTGCAGATGTTCAAGCTGGTGGTTTCAATGTCAAGCGCATAAGCCGAGCTGTGCTGGATTTTAGCTCTGCCTTGCGGGGAGCATTGCGCAAAGTTGAAGTACCTGGAGCCCAGAATGATGGAGAGGAAGTAGACTTTGAAATATCTACGACTACTGACCTGCCTACAGCTGACCTGTCTTTAAAACCTTTAGTCTATGAGGCACAATTTGAACAAACATGCAACAAAACCTTGAAAGGTGATTTGGTTAATAGTTGTGCTGTAGGGGAATTGAGCAAATACAACACTCTAGACAAATCAGATATATTCTCTGTGGAGCCAATGATGGAAAAAGCCAAGAACAGCCTTACAGACACCTGTCAACACCCTTCTTTTTCGGACAAGATCCCTCCATTCCCAGATGAACTTTCAGTCTGCCCTGACCCATATTCCAGTAGCACCTCAATACTGCCTCCACCTCATGGCCTTATAAAACAACCTGCTGAAGGTCCTGCAGATCAGACCCTTAAAACCCAGCTTTCGCAATGCACCACTACAGAATCTCTCTCGATCTCTTTTTCGGCTGATGAACCAGCAACACTAGAGGAACAGGGCGAATTTGAAGTGCCACTGCCACAGCATCCAGCCAAAGACAATGTAGCCCCAGAAGGCAAAGCAGAAGGTGATGCAGCAGATGTGGAGATAAGCCAGATGGATGAGCGCAGGCTGAAGTGCATGAGGACCTTCCAGCAGATTCTCCGGGAAAAGAGGGAGACCCGACGCAGCCTTGCCAGTATGACTATGACCTTCTCTCAGGAGGAGTACGAACCAGGTAGTCATCGCTAGATTTTAAGTTGGGTGCATCTTCTGTTTTACCAGAAAATAAGCCATCTATTAGTTTTGGTTGGATAGGTACACTAACAGTACAGCATTCTTTGTTATTCCAACTATTCATGTTTTAATCATCGCGTAAGATAAAAGAGCATGATGTTATTTAGATATTTCAATGTATTTGAGTGACTCATGTTGAAATGATTATATCACTTTTAGTGATCGTAGAGGTATAGGCTTCTTTGATCATTTCAACCCCGGCTTTTGCTTATCAGAGCCTCTAAATGTTGCAGAATCTCTTTGATCTGTATATAACCGTCAGTATCCTGTTTGAGTAATACGTTCACAGCTGTTATGAATAAGACCCAGCACTTGAAAGTCCCTTAGCTATTTACTGCACCAAATGGTCTCTGCTGATACTATAATTCTTCTCCCCTCTTGGGACTAATGTATCACCTGCCACTCACTGGTCCCTTATTCTTCTTAGAGGCTCCAGCAGTAGCCATTTGCTGAATTAGAAAACATCAATTATCTCCTTGGAAAGCTCACATGACATAAAGGACGAAGGAGAAGGGATATATTAAGAGTCATTTTCATGATAAATTATACATGTTAATGAAACATTTTATGACTTAACACCCCCTTCTATCTGTAAACTCAGGGGTGCAGCTGCTTTAAAAATTACCAGCACATTTATATCATAATGAATCATACAGATTATCTTGTTATGTCAGCATGCTGTTTCATATGATGAGTCAAACTGTTCCATGACTGTTTTTCTTTTTCTGTCCGATCTTTTTTTCTTTCTTGTTCTGTTTTACAGATGGAAGTCAAGAAGGAGATCAGGTTACCTCTTTCATGGTTTCTCTCACGTTAACCATTTTTACATGACAGCATAAAGAACGTTGTTCGTTCTGTTCAATTCTCTTTATATTTTGGACATTTCCACTTGTCAGTGTCTCTTAGTTCAAATTGTTTTCTTTCAATTTCTGTTAAATGCTCATTTGGTCCTGAAAATACCATGTGTCATTGTAAAGCTAATGAAATAGATATAGGTTTAACGAGGCACCCTCAATACATCTGTGTACTATTGAGTCAATCTTCTTCCTGTCATAAACATAAAAATGCCATGCAGAAAAAAGGTTAGTATTGATTACGACGCATGTTGATGAAAAATAATATTGATGTCACTATTGTATTTTCTTTACTAGCTGTCAGACCAGAGAAAAGCATCTGTTAGGATCCCAAAGTCAATATTAAGTGTGCTTTTACTGGGAGCATGTGTTGTTTGCTATGTGTTTACTTTACGAGGTGAAACCAGATTTATGATGTTCATTTATGTATGGGGGAAAATATGATTGATTGAAAGGGCCTTGTTGGCATGTCATACTGAAACTCAACCAACCCAGTGCAGTCCCAGTGTTTCTCTCCTGTTGTTTTTTCATCTCACTTTCTCGTTTCTCCTGTTCTTGTGCATGCTCCAGTGTCATGAAATTATAAAAATCAATAAATGCCTTCAAATGGCTAAATCAGTGACCTTTGACATTCTATTGCAGAGCCGAGATCAAGATGGTGACCCCAACAAGCACGCATGGGCCAAGCCAGGGTCAGTAGCACATTTTTGTGTTGCCTAATTGTGTGTCTGAAAAAGACTCAGATGATTCAGTGTTTGCAACTTCATTTTCTTCATTTACATTCTGATCTGTGTTTGTGTGTGTGTTCAGGGGAAACACACCGTTTGGCATTGACAGCATGCCAGACCTCCGCAAGAGGAGGCCCATTCCCCTTGTTAGTGAACTGGTGAGTACATATCACTTAATGTTTGTTTACAGACTTTTTTTGATAAATGTGACCAAATTATAAATATTTTTAAATGACTAAGAGAAAGAAAAAAAACAGTACAAGCAATACAGTTATCACCTAAACCCTAAATAAACTACAAAAACAATAAAACCCTATATTGAGGATTTATAGACGTATAAATTCACACATTGTACATTTCAATTTAAAGCTCATTGGTTTACAAAATGAATGATAAGTTTAAACATTTTATTGAGATTAGTTTAATGTGTAAGCATAACCAAAATATGTTTTAAGTCACTAATTACTGACATACACATACTTTACCTGAAAATATTAAAAACATGACTACATTAAGTCATTATATTAATGTGGTACTCTGTTGAAATGTGTCATTGATAAACATGTCTTACCTAACCACTATGGGTGGAGCCACATCATTTCTACAGCTTCAGATACAATGCAAATATACATCCAAAAACACATGAAAAAACATCTTCAGCAACTTGACAAAACATGCGCAGTGTTTAATAAAAGCACTGCACGAAAAGCTGCAAATAAAAAACGCTGCCATGAACTCAATACACTCTATAAAACATGGATGCATACAGCTGGGAGCTGAGAGCTTGTCATTCATTTTTCTTATTTAACTTTATTTTTTTTTTACATAAACTAGTAACAAAATGTGTTGGTTCGTTATGCTGCAGGATTTACTGCGTATACCTTGTCAGTTTTTGTTTCTCCTTGCAACTGCTCTGCCCCAGGTTCACGGTCATCTCGGGTTTTTTTATTTCAGCTTTAATTGCCTGTTAACTTTGGCCTCAGCATTGGAAGAAGCAAAGAAAAGTAATGTTAACAAGCCGGCTGAATCACACCAGCGTCTGGAAATGTTACAATCAGCTAATTTGATCCTTCAGAAATGATTACTTGTAGTCTACTTTAAAGAAGAAAGATAGTTTAAAAAAAGAGAATTTCTGCAAAAGCACCCGCTGTGTGATTTGTTTGCAGGCGCTGAATAGCAGGATTCAAGTTGAACGTGGCTGATCCTCTCACAGGGGAACTTGTTTGTTTGTCTCTAACCTTTTCTTCCTTCTTGTTTTCTTTCCTTTCACATGTTGCCTCCCTCCATCCGCCGCCCCTCAGGCTATGGTGAGTAATGGAGAAGTGAGATTTCAGCTGCTGTGTTTCAAAATGTATTTGTTGCAAACTCTCTAAGGGTCCTGATCGTAGAAAAGGATTTGTGTGGAGGTTTGTTATGTCTTTTGTACTTATAGAAACATCAGTCATTGATCACCCATATTTGAAAATATTCTTACAAATACAAGAAACATCAATTCCTTCTTGTGAGTGCTTTCAGCTTTCTCTCCGATGGGTGTTTTAGCCTTTATTCAACAGGTTTGTCTTGCTGTGCTTCAGAGTGACAACAGCTCCATTTTCTAAAATGCCCACCTGTCTCTCTAAACAAACTAGTGCTGATAAATGTTATGGTAATTGTCTCGCATTGACTTTGAAGTACTTAAGGGAGGCACTTATCTTACTTAAAGGAGGCAGAGGTGTTCATCACTGGCTGCAGTCTGAGTGATTAGAGCTAGGAATATTCAGTCTCTGAGATCTAAGAGACCTGACTCATCTGATTAAAGAAACTCCTTCCTGTTTGATTTGACGCAAGTCCACCAGAGGAAAGGTCACACTCAGCAGGGTCTCAGGGGAAAAAAGGCACAGTTTTTAAATTCAATACATAAACGTACACAAACGATGAAGAAAGAGAATCACAGATAAGAGACATGAACAAACACAAAGTTGTGCAGATGGAGCCAAGAATTGCTTTAAAAAAGAAATAAGAAGACCTGGCAATAATAACATAACATCTCACTCGCACTGAGGAAATACAAAGTAAATCTACAATTTGGTTTTGTGATATTATTGTAAGAGTCAAAATTCCTCACATAACTTGAAAGACTGGACTTATTCTTTACAGTAAGAGTTCTCATTTTCAAGGTATTCATTTTGTGGGGTAAAAACCTTGAGTAGTGGATATGGATGTCTATTCACCACATGACTCTTTCTCATTGTGTTGCTGGCGTTTGATGCTTTTGCTTTCTTTGACAATGCAGTTTTGATCAAATATGGACTCTTAATATAAATGTTAGGAAAAAGGCTAGTGTCTGGATATCTTTTAATAAAACCACAGTGTATTTTCTTCACCTACCAGCAATGTCACTGGAAGGACATAACATGTAGGATGTTTAATATCCTGTAGTTCCACTTCCAACACTGCACCATGGCTTAGACCAACCCAGAAACAGGTGCCATCATCCACCTGTATCCTGGTCCTAAACTCATATTCACGCAGTAGGAGCAGGTCGCTCTGGCAGTTACCTCCAATAGCACATTATGCCTCACCATGATCGTGTTGAATGGTTGAACAGCATCTGAAACTCACAAATGAAGCGATGTGTATTTAGATGATGAATTACAGAGTGCTGTAGCAGATAAATGGCAGTGATCACTTTAACGTAATGAAAACTGAAAGCATGCATTGTGAGATGCTGTGAGCCGAGATACTGGGGGTTAAAAAATGGACAATTCCCAGGTTGTCCCAGCTTTGAGGTGCTGCTGTAGGATGAAACATGCATTTGAACTTCCGTATTTAGTTTATGCTGGAGAAGATCAAAGGCTTTCCCAACTATCCTGCTACAGCACTTTGGCAAACTTCTCCACATCCACTCATAGCATAACACAGAAAACTGAAATGGGTGCAGTGGGCAATTCCATTATACACTGTTGTAAATGTGCGTTACGTTACACGTCCATTTTGTCAGGATTACATTACTTGAAAGATTAAAAACCACTGAGTTGACAACTTTCACTACAGAGCCAAACATCAAGCATGAAAAAAAAAATCTAAAATTACAGCTACGGTTCAGGCATCAGCTCCCTCTCAGCCAGTTATGTGCAGCCCTGCATATATCCCCCAAATGTCAAACTATTCCTTTAATGCATAAAATCACTCTTTTCGTTTTGCTCACTTCAATACTTAATATTATAATATCAAAATCAATGACAAAAAGGTCCTCAAGGAGTGAGTCAAGAATGTGTTTCGAAAGCTGTGTTGAAGACAGAAGAAAAAAGTATGTGTGTTTTGCTCTTTTAACTTTGAAGGTTTTCCACAACCTTCAAAGTTAAAAGAGCAACACATCACACAGAAAATGAATTTCCTGGATTGTTTGACTGAAAGTTGTATTTGGCTTTCTTTTCTTTTGTTACCTTGTTTGTTTTTCTGCTTTGTTTTTCTCTCTCGATGTTTATCACTGATGCTTTTTGTATATTTTTCTCGTCTCTTGCTTCTAGTCTATGATACAATCCAGGAAAGCTGGACTCGCCCACACGCTGGCCACACGGACGTCCTTGAAAGACGAAGAGCTTGTGAGTGGCAAAATTCATATAACAAACACACACACACACACCAACAAACACACACACACACACAGCTTATCCTGAAGTTATGATGGTATCATAATCTACAGAAAGACCTGCTGTCACCTCAATGCCAACTACTCATCCAGAAAAATCTTTACACATATTTGACACATTAATACTCCCCTACTGCATGCCTGTTACACCAATATGACTCCTTTATTACAAGCATGTTTCACCCTTATTGCACTTGTATTACACCCTACTGTAATTATACCCTTTTGACACTGTTATTTCAGCCATATGGGACAGTTATTGCACCAATATAAGACCCATGTAACACCAATATTACACCCATATTACATCGTAATTACACTGTTATTACACGTATTTTACAAATAGACACAGCCTGTGAAATGGCTGTGTCCCCAAGGATCCAGAAACCATTTAAGAGTTATAAAGCTGTTTGTTGAAGATCCAAAATGCTAAAGGATCTAAATCTCGTCATCTTTAAGCAGCATCAGGGTTTATTGGAGACATGATCAGCAATTCCTGACATTCATTTTTGTATTATCATCGTTTTTGTGCTCTGCTAAGTGTTTGCGCAGCTTACTTCCGGGTAAATACGTCACTGTCAAAGAGGCGTTTCAGGAAGGGAGGGGGGGAGTGTGTGGGATAGAAACCCCTGCTGGAGGGAGCTTTGGGATTTTAGCCTTTGCAGACCATTTACATGCACAAAAAACCTATACGACACACTACAGGAAAGGGACAACTCAAAAAGCGTAAATGGGGCTTCTGTGAAAATAAATTCACAGAAGCTCACAATTAAATCTGCACTTGATATTTATAAAAAGATTTTTGTGTTTGATTGTAATACAAGGTAAACAAGAATGATATTTATGGTCATTCAGATTTTACAATTGACTTCTCTGAAGTAGCGCATAAACTGACATGTATACCAAAAACGTAACCATCGAACATGCATATGCCTTGTAGGTTATTGACCTCCCCATATTGACAGATGGGCGTTACAGAATACAGGAAAGATATTAACAAATTCATAATGTTAGCTGTTCCATCATTTGATTCACTGACAGATGGAAACAGCATATGTACAGAAATGTACACAAAACATTTTGTTCTGACTCATGAACACAGACACTATTGACAACCTGTGAAAAATATGAGCGAATGATGCTAAAATAAAAGTTTTAGCCATCCATTCAACCATATGTTTTAAATTATAACAATAATATATAGCCATAGTGGAAATGTAATTATATTAAAAGCTTTTTTTATACAGGATGCTTTATAGTGACAAGGAAGTATATCAAATGTAATAGAATAAGGTAAAAGTACAGAGAAAAAAAGTCAAAAGGATGGAAGAATTTAAACAACGCAGATTAGATCAATACAACTCAATGCAGTTAGAAGCAGATTGAGTGAATTTAGAGGCATAGATGACAGAAATTAAACCCACTGAAGAAGGTATTGTTTTTCTTGTTCCCTGCTCTTGAAACCACTGCAATGTCTTCCATAATGGGAAATAAGAAGAAGCCTTGACTCACATTTATCTTCTGTTTTTGCCAAATCAAGCTGGGCTTCTAGTCAAGGTGTCCTCTCATCTTGTGGAGATGTGTTAACCTCCTCCCACTCTCCTCCTACGCTGGGCAACAGCAGAACTCAATTATTTAAATTAATAAAAGCCAAGAATGATAGAAACACAAATTAGCACTGTTGTAAAGAGGCCCTATTGTGCTTTTGGGGGGTTTTCCCTTTCCTGTATTGTTTATATATGTTTTTCTGTGCAGTTAAATGGTCTGCAGAGGCTAAAATCCCAACGTTTAGCCATGATAAGCTAAGGGTCTGGACATCCGTAAGCGGTTGACCAATCAAAACGGAGCATGCCAGCTAACCAATCAGAGCAGACTGGGCTCTGGTTTGAGACAGAGGGTGAAAAGAGGTGCTGCAGCACAGGCAGTATGAGGAAAACATGAAGACCTTTTTAAAACATTAAAGCATGTAATCATGTCACAATAGAGGCACAACATATAAATATGAACCTGAACATGGGCATGATATGTCCTAAAAGAATTGTATCGCTTTGAAATGATCTTTCCTTAAAGCATGTGCAGGAAGAACATTATTGTTGCTTATGTAATTCTTTGCATTTCCATAGTTGTTTTCCCCTTCTTTCTTTCTTCACCTATCTCTTGTGTTACCTCTCCTGCCCTCTCTCACTGTGTTGTCCTTTGTCCATATAACCAATGTCCATATCCTTCTTCTCACGTCATCTCACACTTTTCTTTATCATTCTGTGGTTAATCTCTGTCCTTGGATAACTTCTCCCATGGCCTTTCTCTCATATAGCTTTTTTATTCATCTCCGTCTCACACCCTCTTTCTCTCTTGGATCCAACAGAAAAACCATGTGTACAAGAAGACCCTGCAGTCTTTGATCTACCCCATCTCCTGCACCACTCCACACAATTTTGAGGTCTGGACGGCTACTACACCCACCTACTGCTACGAGTGTGAGGGTCTGCTGTGGGGCATCGCCCGGCAGGGTATGCGCTGTGCAGAGTGCGGGGTCAAAGTGCATGAGAAGTGCCAAGAGCTGCTGAACGCCGACTGTCTGCAGAGTGAGTACATTTAGAGTTCATTAGATTAAAAATATGTGAACTTGAAAAGAACGAGGCCTTGAGGGGTTTTTTTTTGTTATAGAGTAAACATTTGAAAAAAATGTTGTTTACATTTTGGTTATTTACCATTAATTGTAACACAGCACATAATTGTTATCCTTCAAGCAGGTTCAAGTGCGAAACAACGGCCCAAAACATTTACATAAGGAGCAGTGCCAAAACACATGCACATGAAGTTACAGCTTCAAAAACTTGACAACACATGTGCAGCATTTACTAAAAGCGCTGCATAAACTAAACGGATCTGCTCAAAGAGTGACACTTGGCTAACTTTATAATCCCCGAATGTCTTTAAGCGCTCCAATCCCAGCTGTGTGCGTCACTTTTTAGTGTGTTTATTGCAGCATTTTGTTTTTGCAGCGCTTTCAGTAAACAGTGCGCATGTTTTGTCAAGTTGGTGAAGAAGTTTCTTCATTTGCTTGTGTTTTGGGCTGTTTTTGTGCGTTTTCACCCGTCAACCTACGTAATAAAAGGTACTAGTTATCATTATAAAAATGCTCAGTGTAGTAACCTACAGTATGAAGAAAACTCTTGAAAAGTATATACATTTGATGTTTGAGAAGTTGTGACATACATAAAACCATGCCAAAATGTCCATATTTTGTAAGTGGTTACCATATAGAGATCCACCCCATCTCAAAAGGTAATTGTTTTCTATTATTGTTACTTGTATATCTATGATTGCTACCTTTTGAAGTGAACGAAAGTTTTCAAAAATTGCCCGTGCTAGAGCTTACAACAATTGAGTTGAGCATTGGAAAGTGTTGCTAGAGGAAACATTCGGCCATCGCTTCATCGAGTGAAAGTAAGGGAGGTTGACAAAAAAAAACGTAGGGGCGTTTGAAAACCTTAATGTTACCCGAAAAGGAAAATCCATCACTAAAACATAATTTGAACATGTTGCTTCTAGTTTTACTTTTTGTTCACCATTCACCCTTCCCTTCCTGTTTCATTCTTCTTTGTTTTCCCTCAGGGGCGGCCGAGAAGAGCTCCAAGACCGGGGCGGAGGACCGGACGCAGCACATCATCATGGCCATGAAGGACAGGATGAAGATCCGCGAGAGGAACAAACCGGAGATCTTCGATGAGATCCGAAGCGTGTTCAATATCTCCAAAACGATCCACGTCCAGCACATGAAGAGCATCAAGCAGAGCGTCCTGGACGGCACCTCCAAGTGGTCGGCCAAGATCACCATCAACAGTATGTCCAATGGAATTTTAACTTTGAAATGTAAAAATAAATGTGAATAATTACCTAGATACATTAGTTGGGAGTATTAACAGTCACTATTTTTTAGTTTTAGAGGACAGACAGCGCTGCAGCATCACCATATTGTCCTTTTCTCTCTTTTCTCTTATGGCTATTGAAAGACACAACACAAAAAAGCATAAAAAGTACTTTTCAGGAACAAAATCTAAGAGGTTTATTTTCATAAAAAATAAACCTCTTAAATGACGCCTTAAAAGTAATGCAGATAACATCATCAAACAAATGCAAAAACACCACATTTATAAGCACTGACTGGCAAACATGACCTACAGTTAGACAAGAGAAGCTTTTACAACCTGTCGTTCCTTTTACTTCGTCTTTCTTCATCACAGCTAATGCACCTGCTGGATTTTGACAGGCATGTAGCAAGTACACACTGTGTCTAAGTGTGTCCACACTTGTGCTGTGTGTAGACCGTATCACACTCATATCTCTGTGAAGTCGATCTGCAGACTGAACTCAAGGTGACATAGCCTTTTATACTCAGCTGTACCTGATGAGATAAGAATCATTTTTGTATAAAGTATTATGTCCATTCAAAATAGCTAATTAAGTTTTTGCTAAATGCTACAAAACATATTCATTCATAGATGATTCAAAGGAATGCTTTACAACCATAAGTAAACTGATATGTAATGTGAAGTTAAGAGATAAACATTAAATAAGCAGGCTTCGAAACACATTTTTTGGAACATTTTGAACTGTATTGCTGTGGTAGAATGTTAGCAAAGGTGTAGCTGCATGCTAAAAGAAGTTAAAGCCGTGGTGCCCTCAAGAAACCAGCACAGTTCAAATCAAATTCTGTAAAAACCTGCATCGGTGAGAATGTGGAGGAGACTTTTAGCTTTCCCCAACATCAATACCTAAAAAAAGAATCCATCCCACATTCCTGGAAGTTGTTCCTTTCATTTGACAGTCTGAACTTTAAATAAACTTCAACTGCTTATCCACGCTTTACTCATTTGAAAAGGAAACGGGTCACCACCTTCCCTTCTTCTCCTTTTACTAAACATGACTGCTGCTGTTACCAAAGCAACCACACTCATCACCTCATATAGTGGTAGCAGTGTCGCCATGGCAGCGATTACACCTTGTCTCCCCTGATCACCACGCATGATCTCCATTAAATAGTAGATGCAAGGACAGGCACTCAGAAGGCACTTTGTTTCAAACTCATTCATGGAAATGGAAATGGTTAAAGGCGACCTTTTATGCTTTTATCTGGGTTTCCCTTTCCTGTAGTGTGTTATGTAGGTTTTTGTGCAGGTATATGGTCCGTAAAGGCTCAAATCGCTCCAACACACCGAATGGTTAGCTGGCTGGCTCTGTTGTGATTGGACTCCTTTGTTTACTTCTATAACATAATGATATGACTATGTTACAATCACACTTCTTTTGGCTAGCGCTTCAACACATTGTACATGATAGTCTAAAGTCAAGAAGTTGACCAATCACAACAGAGCTGGCCAACTAACCAATCAGAGCAGACAGAGACAAATAAAGACCTGAACATTAAAGCATGGAAACATGTCACAGTAAAGGCGCAAAATACAAATATGAAACCAGAAAATGATCATAATGAGGCCTTTTTAAGATAAAGAAATCAAGTGAGATTCAGAATTACCATTGTGGCTAAAGGCATCACACTTTTTTATACTAAAGGTTTGCTCAAGAATGTTTGTAAAGTTGTCTCTCCTCCAATGGTGTAAATACTTTAAAGAAGTTGTATTTTTTTGTACAAAGATTAACGAGTTTAAACCCTGAATTGCTATTATATACATCCTGAAGCTTTAGCTAATGTTGTGCGCTAAAACATAGTGGAGAGAAAAACTTACAAACAATATTTTAAAGGGGTCTTAAGTTGTTTTTGTGCTGGATTCACCCCTTTTTCTTGGTTTTTCATCATTTATTTTCTTGCATTTTTCATTACAATTCAATGATGTCCCCCATCTGAGATACGTATACTCAGAAATACTTTCAACTCAAATTCAGTTCAGTCAAATTGATTTTGATTCAAATTGATGCTGGACTGACAGGAGATGCTAGGGAGAGCTCTTTGAAAACACAATTGATTTCACAAGGGAATATCTGAACCAATTACTATTCAAAACCCCTTTAGCAGAGATAAAATGCGTCAGTCATTGACACTGAATCAACTGATGTTGAACTCTTTAGTGTCCTATATGGTAAAAAGTTAAATGTTCAAGTCTAACATTTCTAGCAGGTGTTACAATAATTTGATTACTATTATGCTCATTTTCAGGTTCATATGTATATGTTGTGTCTCTACTGTGACATGTCTCCATGCTTTAATGTTCAATAAGTGCTTAATTGTTCTCATACTACCTGTGCTGCCTCTTTTCACCCTCTGTCTGAAACCAGAGCCCAGTCTGCTCTGATTGGTTAGCTGGCTGTCTCTGTTTTGATTGGTCAACTGCTTATAAATGTCCCGCCCCTTAGAAGTGTGCTGGCGTCAGATATACGACTCCCTGTCGCCAAATTTGCAGTCTCTACCCCGACCTGCGGATATATTTTGGCAATGTCATACCTACTGTCTCCCCCTTTCAATGCTGGATCTCTAAAATATATGACGTACGCAAGTGTGTGCATGTTATGCCAGGGATGAATTGATCCGATGAATGCCTTAAACTTACCATATTGGATATTAGCCAGTTTCAATGGGCTCCTTAATCCTTAGCAGTCTATTATGACCTCCTGTTACCTTACATTGAAAAGTTCTTTTTGGTTTTGGACCAACTTTTAAACTCCTCTGTTGCCTTGTGACCGTTAATCATAGAGAAATGTCCCGGCTCATGAACCTTGACTTTCCATCACTCAACACAGTTTTTCTGTAGCTTGGAAGACAGGCAGGCGTTCTTTATCTTTACGCCGTTTAAGCCAGAATGTCCCAGATACGTCTCTGTATTTTATTTGTTGCAAAATAAAATGTGCAAAAGTTTTATTTAAAATTCAGCAACTTGGCATTTCGGCTTGTATGATTGAGGTAAACTCAAGGGCCGATGTTTTTTCATTAAAGCCACATCAATGCTTCTTGTCCTTTTTGAAATACTTTTGATTGCCTTGTGCGCGGTAAAGCAAAACATCGGGGAACAGTTCTTTGAGTCATTTACTGAGAAATGTTGTTACCCAACACCGGCCTGAGTCATATGTGTTACGAGGCTTTGCATAACTGTGTGGGTAATATCTGTGTGTGTGTGTGTGTGTGTGTGTGTGTGTGTGTGTGTGTGTGTGCGTGTGCGTGTGTGTGTGTGTGTGTGTGTGTGTGTGTGTGTGTGTGTGTGTGTGTGTGTGTGTGTGTGATGTGTGTGTGTGTGTGTGTGTGTGTGTGTGTGTGTGTGTGTGTGTGTGTGTGTGTGTGTGTGTGTGTGTGTGTGTGTGTGTGTGGTGTGTGTGTGTGTGTGTGTGTGTGTGTGTGTGTGTGTGTGTGTGTGTGTGTGTGTGTGTGTGTGTGTGTGTGGTGTGTGGTAGTAAAGAGTAGGTGTTTGTTGTTCTTATGCAAGTTTCATAGTCATTCACGTTCTGAATGTGTTTAATCAGTCGTCAGTGCGCAGGGTCTCCAGGCCAAGGACAGAACAGGCTCCAGCGACCCGTACGTCACCATCCAAGTTGGAAAGACCAAGAAGAGAACAAAGACCATCTACGGCAACCTGAACCCGGTCTGGGAGGAAAAATACAGCTTGTAAGTTCCACCTGGTTGTGAAGCTCAGCTGGAGCTCTCAGAGGTCTGGCAATGAAGAACTGACACAATCACTTTACAGCTGTCAGATCCTGTAACTTATAATGATAGGTCAGATGTTTTGATGGGGGGTTGTATGAGGTACTTAAACATAGATTGTATACTACCTACAGTACATAGCAATCGTCACACCCCAAGTTTTGGTGTGGAGTGGAAGTGCCAAACTGAAGCCATGAGCAATGTACTTTAGTGTACTGGGTGACAGATACACATACTAGTACTGCAGAAAGCTGTAACAATCTTTAACAAGTAGATACAAGCACCAACATGTTCATGTTATGTAAAACAATGGATTATTGCAAAAAACGTATATTATAATGATTTTTAAGCTCCAACAGGAACTATAATTGTATTTCCGTATTTAAAAGACATAACTTTGACACACTATGATCCTACTGTATATTCAAATGTATTCACTGCAACATAACAGTAAATTGGTTAAAAGGCAAGTACAGTACACCATCTGAGCAACATTTTCTCTAATATGTCCTAGCATCAGTAGAAACATAATGCCCTCTTTATATATACTTACTCCTGGCACCTGCAGCTGCATAACACTTTACAAAAAATGAAATTTCTAAGCCTTCAATCTTGGATTTTTTTGTTGCTATTGTGCTTTTTCAAAGGAGCAACCTCCATGGAGTAAATGTGCCAATTGTAGTACTTGTATACACTTGTGAAAGATGTCCCTGATATATTCAATTATCTGCAGCACTAACTGTACCTTAGCCAAATAATAGAAAATCCCACCCAAGAAAAATATTATATAAATATAGAATATTTGTACTGCTTTATCTGGCCATCAGACAGCTCTTTCCGATGGCCAGTTAAAAAAACCTCATTTCAACTTGTGAGTTGAAATGGCTTTTGCAATAAAATAAACGTTAAAAGAAAAAAAGTGTAAGGTAGACATCCCAAAACATCTAAAATATGTTTTCTCTTACAAATCATGAAATTGATGCTTACTAGGTAGTTACTACAGAATAATAGTCAGGCACCCATTTTTCAAGTATTTGTTCACATATGTTAATGTCACCCACCTGTCCTTTGTCTCCACAGCGAGTGCCACAACTCATCAGACCGTGTCAAGCTGCGAGTTTGGGACGAAGACGATGACATCAAGTCACGAGTAAAGCAGCGCCTGAAGAGAGAGTCTGACGACTTCTTGGGCCAGAGCATCATCGAGGTCCGAACTCTGAGCGGAGAGATGGACGTCTGGTACAACTTGGGTATGTAGCCGGGCGTGGTTTGCATTCCGCCCAGCCAATCAGACATAGGAACCTTTTTCTCCCACGAAAGTACCTGCTCTCTAGCAGGGGGTAAAAAGGTTCTGATTAACTCATTTTAGTTCCGGCTCTTTTTGGTGTGAACGCGACATTTCGGAACTATATCGGAACTAAAGTGGGAAAAGTACTGCGGTATTCTAGACATAGGTGTCATTTATACTGAGGATGTGTCCACCACTCGATAAATATAATTTGTTAAAAATGTTCTGAGACGTAGCTTACAACAACAAATCTTAACCAACAAATTAAGACATTTAAATGTAGTAATCATAGCAAAAATAAATGTGCACTGTCAACACAAATGTCTGTGTGTGTGTTTCTCCACTTGCAGAAAAGCGAACAGACAAGTCGGCGGTGTCTGGTGCTATTCGCCTTCAGATCAGTGTGGAGATCGAGGGAGAGGAGAAGGTGGCACCCTATCACGTACAGTACACGTGCCTTCATGAGGTAACACACACACACACACACACAAGAATACACACACATGCACACTGATACTTTAATGAGGTACACAAAGAACTCCTTATTACTACCACATCTAAATCAAGTATACACTTATTATTTAGTGTGTAAAAACAATTAGGATTATTTCTAATTCACAAATAAATAATTAATTCCAAATTCTTAGGATTATACATTTTACAATGATATATTAGACAACAAATCAGCAGCAAATTCTCATATTTGAGACAAAGAACCTGTGAATGATGCATTTGAAACAATATGTAACCGACATTTTTGTAGATAATTTTCCTGCAGATCACTGATGCTAATACAACAATATTTGACTCATTGATTAAGTACTACATGTATTTTTCAGTAAATAGGACATTAATTGACAGTTTTAATAATAACTTTGTAGGGTCAACAGAGATGCAGGTTTGAATCTTGAAATTGAAAGCCTTTTAAATGACTTCAAATTGTTTTTTAGGCTTTTTAAATTAACAGACACTTTTTGGGTTTTTCCTTTTCCTGTAGTGTGTTTTATATAATTGTGTGCGTGTTAATGGTCTGCAAAGGCAAAAATACCAGAGGGTTTCTCTCCCACACACTGGAAAAGAAAACGCTGCATATAAGCGCTATGCCAGACACACCTCAATTGGACTCCTTTGTTTTCTTCCATAACGTGGTGACATCACTATCACTTCTATTAGCTAGCGCTCCAACACATTGTACGTGATTTGCTAAGGGGCGGGACATCTCTAAGCTAACCAATCAGAACAGACAAAAATAACGCAGGTTTTGAACATTCAGGAATGTAAACTATATATGATTTGAACCTGAAAATGATCAAATATATCCTCTTGAAATTGTGAATAGTGAGAAAATAAGAACAACTAAGTAATTTCTCAACTGTGAAGATCTTCAACAGCATATACTGTAAAGCCATCTATAACACATTTGTTGATGTTGTCTTGTTCTCCCAAAAAAAATGTCTTCTGTAGAACATGTTCCACTTCTCCACGGACATAGAGGGGGGCGGCGTCGTGAAGATCCCAGCGGCTCACGGAGACGATGCGTGGAAGGTTTACTTTGATGAGTTACAGCAGGAAATTGTGGACGAGTTCGCCATGCGCTATGGCATCGAGTCCATATACCAGGCCATGACGTAAGCTCAGCGTTAAAGTGTGTGTGTGTGTGTGTGTGTGTGTGTGTGTGTGTGTGTGTGTGTGTGTGTGTGTGTGTGTGTGTGTGTGTGTGTGTGTGTGTGTGTGTGTGGTGTGTGTGTGTGTGTGTGTGTGTGTGTGTGTGTGTGTGTGTGTGTGTGTGTGTGTGTGTGTGTGTGTGTGTGTGTGTGTGTGTGTGTGTGTGTGTGTGTGTGCGCGTGCGTGTGCGTGTGTGTGTCGTTGTAACGAGAGGTGGGAGGAGCTCTCATGAACTATAACCAGCTTCTAAATTGGTTTATCACATCAAATTAGAAAAGATGACCTTTCACCTCAAAGATTGCCAGGCTGTTTGATCCGATCATTGTGGGCAGATGGAGAGAGCCTTAATGAGCACGCACACATTTATTAATGTTGTGATTTGACCTTAAAGGGACAAAGAGGGCCTCTGAGTTTATCTTGTGCAATAGAGAAGCACAAAACAGATAATATAATCATGCTAGGCAGACTTGAATACAGTGTCAGCATAAATTGCTCGGACTACTGTATGTCCCAGTGGAAATGGATAAAAGGAGCGAATCAATAACTCGAAAATGGTAATTTAAATTCACTGTGGCTGTTATAGAAAAATCACATCTTACGATCTCATGAAAGCACTCTAAACCTCAGCAACATTTTTGTTTATTTACAGGAACAGACTATTAATGTCTGTTTTCCTGGATCCTACACAAATGACTGCATGAGTTGAAACATTGGGCTTCATACAGCAATGTCTTCTTACATTTCTTCACCTAGGTGTCTCCCAATAAATCATAATAAATGAAGTGTTTTCAGCACAGAGCTGAAAACACTTCCATTAGGAAAAACATGCTGCACTTCAAAAACGATGCAAATATAAAAATACAAATGTTTAAAATTACATTCAAATTAAGAAACATCTTCTCCAACTGGTAATTATTATAAAAACTTACACAAAGTCAAAAGGATTTTCAACCTTCAGCAGTTGATTTGTCTTTTTTAGTGTTATTTATACATGTATTATTATTAGCATTGCAAAATAAATGCAATATACTAAAGAAACAGTATAGGGAGGTATAGGGGTAAAAAAACTAAAATCGTTAAAAAAGTTAAAGTTTGGGGTTACTGTACTTTTAAGATAAAAGAGCTATGAAAAAATAATAAATAAATAATGTAAATAAATGAGTTTATCTAAAAGAAAAAAAAAGGAAAATTATGCAAAAATGCAGAAATTAAAATGCTTATAATTATTATTGATATGTTATCTTTATATTTTCCCAAGTATTAATCCATGACTTCAGAGTTGTGCTGACATTAGGGTTAGGGTTAGATTTATATATTTTTTTCCACAGATTATTTTTGTAGACATTTTAAATGAAAAATGTAGAATAAAATAATTTCTCACTATTAAGGCCGAGATGTTTCTTTTTTTAATTAGTTAATATGTCTTAATAACATAATGCAAATGGACTGTTTCATGTTAAAGATGCAACTGATATATTAATCCATGGCAGTTGCAAAAATGGCCACACTTGTGATCAACCCCTTATTAATTTTAGTTGGTTTTCCTCCCGCCTCTCTGTCTATCTTCTCTCTCATCTCCAATTATGCCAAACCCTTTACTCCCTCCACCCTCCTTGATCTCCACAATGTATGTCATCTGTCCTCACGTCCTTTGAACTTTCCTTCTGGCCTATTAATGTCTTCCTCTTAACTCTTCTCTCCTTTGCTTCACCTGTCTCATCCTCCCACCATGTCCTCGCCTTTTTACCTCTTCAATCTCCTTACATTTCCCTCCTTCCAAACTTGCTAACCCTCCCTCCTTTCCTTTACTCCTCAGCCATTTCTCTTGCCTGTCCTCTAAGTACATGCTGTCAGGGGTTCCGGCAGTGATGAGCACACTACTGGCCAACATAAACGCCTTCTACGCCCACCCAACCGCCTCCACCAACGTCTCCGCTCCGGCCAGGTTTGCAGCCTCCAACTTCGGGGTAAGTGGTCACCACACGCAATAAAATAAACACAGAAAAGTCTTTCCAACACAATCTGACTTATCAAGATGATCCTTTTTTGTTTGTAAAGCAACTTTTGATGCAAAGACTGATGTGCTTATCCCGCTTATTATCACGTTTATTACGCCACTACCTACTACATAAACCAACGATTTCATTCACAGCACTGATTTTAAAAGGATTTTATTGATTTCAAAATAATCGTATTTTGCGATTTAACGTAACTTAAAATGAACAGCGGCTCTGATCGAGGTTTTCTGTAACTCAGAATCTATTCACATTTTATTTTCCATTAACTAGTCTTTAAACAATGCCAGCGCCCATACCGTTTTCCTGTTAGTGTTTACCTCCTGTCTGTCTTCTTCTATTTATTTCCAGCGCTGTCTTTTAACCTCTCTCCTTCACTTGCACTCTTTTACTTGAGGTGTTAAGCCATCATGAATTCAAAGTTTCGGTCTATCCACAAATAAAAAAAGGAATATTCAAAACGACCTACTACTGCACATAGTCACTTGATCCAACTTGTCAACTTGTTCTCCAAAGCAGAGTTCTGTTAGCAAAAATTAACAACCTCTGAAATGTCCAAATTGACATATCAGAATCGAGTATTCATCTCAGCCGTGTAATAAAGGCCAAAAAAGGCTCTTCACTGTGCCACAGAAAACGACCTCATCAAACTAAACGTGTTGATGAGGCTAGTGATCAATTATTTGTACTGTTGGGAAATGACCCAACATCATCAGTGGTGGTGCTCAAAAACCTTTGACATACATTATAGAAGTCAGTCAGAAGTTACTTCTTAAACACTACTGATATTATTCTGATAAAGCCTGGGCAGTCTCTCAAAATGACCCCGATGTGAATATTGGTTGCATCTCAATCACAGGTCAAAACAATGACAGTGGCACCGCCTTGGGAGGAGCTGCAATATTCTTGAGACGACATGTTTACCTTGTCAGTTGTTTGTCCTTCCAGAGCACTGTAGATACACAACAACAGCAAAGCATCAAGGCATTTTTTGAAATGCAGATGGTGATTGGAATGATTGAATTGGATTTCAGGCTTAAAGCACACACAGGAGTTCAGACATTCAGACAAAATAATAAAAAACAGACTTTTATAGAAGCTGGAAAAAAAAGAATTAATTAAATGAAGGTGAGAGATGTTTGAATAAGCCTTAAAGCTACAGTTTGGTTGACACAGTTTTCTTACAGAAGGTGACCCAGTTTATATGTCAAATTTCAATATTCCATGACTCCCTGTTTTTTCTTATTGGGTGCGAATGCTGTATACAGCATTCCACTATACAGTAGTTATTCTGTTTCTTTATTCTTCAACTTCATCTTCTTCTTTATTAGTGTGAATGCTGTTTACATACTATAGTTCTTCAAATCTTTAATCTTCTTCTTATTATTATTATTTCAACCAATATTTTGCCGGTGAATAACTTCAGCATAATTTCAGCTACAGAAACCATTAAAATATCAAACTATTCAGCCTTTTCAGCACAACTTTCAACTTTTTCTAAATATTTCATACTTTTCAAATGTTCAGCTTTTTAAACTCTTTTTTAACATGGAACTCAATGGGAGGAACCTTCAAATCCTCTTTTACCTACACCTTGCGTCGAATGCTACTCCTTCCACATACTTCCAGCTAGAGACTTCATTTCAACTTTAACTTCTAATGATCACAAGACCTTCAGCTATATAACTTGTTCTTCAGATTTTTGATATCTTTTACACTTTTTGAGATATTTAACTTAGTTTGGAGCTTGGTAAAGAGGCTTTCTTCAGATTTTAACATTAGTGTGTATTGCGCAGCTCGTTAAGTGCTTTGATCTCAAAACAGAGTGGAGGACAGCTTGAAATTTGTCCCAACATTATTTTAAACCTGTCATAACTCCCAAACCCTACACTCCTTGGACATAATTGTTCATGAAAAACGTAGGAAAACCTCTTCTACGTTGAAAAATAAAAATAAAATAAGCAAAAAAATTAAACAAAATGCCTCTTGAGGGCAACAAAAAAAACGTTCAACATGTCTCCATTAAGGCCCATTGTAAATTCAGCCTGATCTTTCCTCAGAGCAGCAGCTGCACATCTTTAGTAAATCTGCCAAAAATGCTACATTATTGACCCAAAAGTACACAAAAAGCAGACTCCGACGCTCCTCACGGTCCTGACATCTTCCAGGCGTTGACATTTTACCGAAAGCAGCTACCGTTTTTAAACTATAGTTAGAAATGTAAGAGGTTTATCTCTCATTCAGATCAATGGAAAGGCTCTCCTCTCACAAATCACTGCACATCACCATGGAAACCTTTGATCTCTGCTGATAACGTCGTCACCATGGACACCTTTGATGTCTGGGCTCACACACAGGTGTTATGATTAGGTGCTCAGCACGGAAACACTGACAACAAGACTGGAGTTTAAGGCCCCGGCCACACGAGGACGATAACGGTAAAACGCATTCCGACACCGGAAAGTTTCTGTCCACACGAGACAGCTCCGTTTAGCTCCAACCGCTGGAGAAGCTGCAGTACATATGCCGAGCCTGTACGTGGCGCTGTAACTTCCTCCACAAAAGCAGTGAAGAAGCATGGTTGTCATGGTTGCCCTTCTGTTTATTCTCCGCGGTGGGGAGTTTTTCGCCAGTCAGACTGTCTCAGCCTATTATTTTCTGTCTGATGGAGACTTCATACTGACTTCAACATGTTTCACATATTTTATACATTATTGGTGATGTATGGTTTTAATTAAAATATTCTGTTGCTTTTCAAAGCATTTTTACTTTATTTTCTCTTCTTAATACACATTCATTCACTACTACTTACATTGTATATCTAACTCCTTCAGCCTATTTCAGCTATAGAAACCATTCAACTATTAAATTATTCAGCTATTTCAGGACATTGAGGCCATACATTTTGTTGTTTATACCTTTTTTAAACCTTTTCTTTTATATATTAAACTTCTTCACTATTTTTCCTACTCTTCCAGTTTAACATTTCACTTTCAGTTTTCAACAAAGTCATGGCAATGCATTTGAGCTGTAACAATTTTGATTCAAATCATTTCACTTTTCTGCATTTCTCCGCTAAGTTCAGCAACACACTTACTTGGTTTTTGTAGCTAAAAGCAGCTACAGAGACCATTCAACTATTAACGTATTCAGCTTTTTCTGCATTGACAGCATTCTCACGCATTTTCAGCAGGAAATGCATTTTCTAGTTATCCCAAAGTGTCTGATCTGGACTTTACTGGTTATCTGTGCCAAGGTAGTCTCTAGAGAGGTGTTTTTACATTCCGCTTCTGAAGGTAGAAATGTTGCTTTCCCTAAAATCTGAGTTTCCAATGTTCTCTTTCTCCTCTCTCAAGGGCAGAGGTGAATAGTCAGTATAGGGCGGGTGTTAGTGTACAGTAAGCATGTTGAACGTTTTAAAGGCAAACATGTTAATGGTGTGTTGTTTTTAGATTCAACCTGACCCTGAAGCTTCCTGCTGCTAATGTTGTCAGCCAATGCTAATAGCAAGCTAGCAAACAGCATAAACAGCTAAACGTTGCTAACTACATGCCTATCCCTCTGCTAGTTGCCGATGTTGGTGCACAACAAACTCCTCCCCTGATACAAACATGTATAAATCTCTCCAATGTTTGCTCTAACAGAGTGAAATTGACCAGACAATATTTTTCCGGAGTTCCGCAGTCGCTGTAATGATGCTAGCTGTTGAACATAGCAGCGTTGGACAGCCAATGGCAAATTCTGAATTTGTCAACGAGAGTGAAATAGCAGATAACTTCCCACCCTTTTTCACATGTATTACATTTTGTGTGGGATACCCTACCCACATTAAACGATATAATAAACAGAACATTTTTATATATATAACAAGTGGCGATAGGCAAATGTTAAAGCTGACATCAATGAGAATGACCTGTCCAGAGCTAGGAGGTTTGTTTATGCTGCTTAAAGCTTCCTCATTAAAACGTAATATATTACCCATGTGGGACCGTAGGAACGGCAGTGTACTAAGCCCACGGGCCCCACAGGAGCCACAGACAGGGGGACAATGACAGTTAGAGGCCAAGCTTAATGACTTCTGGGATTTTTGCCAATAGTGGAGGCTTGAGTTGTCCTACTGGTTGCACTCAGACTCCGATGATTAATGATCGACCGGTGGCAGGTAGCTTTTGTTTTAATTGGTCAGGGAATGCAGCCAGTCTTGCTTCAGCATGGGCTACAGCTGTGGGGGTCTATATTGGGGTTGCTAAAACCCCTGCTTTAGTTTTGCTGAATATAGTCTTTTATTTCTTTGTGGGGTTCCGGGTAAGTAATTGGTTTCATTAAGCCATTCTCTTGTTTGATCATAGTGAACTTAAGTAACAGGCTAATGACTTAACATAAATTCATTCATGAATTTATGTATCAATTAATGTATGACAAATCTTCATAGAGGACAGACATTAATGAATGACTAAACGACAATTTGCTAGCGTTTTGACTCCACATAAAAACTAATTATCTTAAAGTGACTATATTTCATAAACATTGATTGACCTATGAGCTCCAAGCCATTTATTAGGGGTGTGACATACTAATAGGGAAGGGAAGAAAAGCTTATTTGTGAAGCAAGGACATTCAAAATGCTTTACATAAAGAGGCATCAAGGGAAAGAAAAAAAAAGGTTGTTAAAATGAACTGATAAGAATTGGAATAGCATTCATTAGTACCACAAACTTCTCTGCAAGGTGAGGTCGCCACTATTGTTAAAGTTACATGAGGAAAGTAATACTGCTTCCAAGAACACTAACTCCTAGTTCTTCCCAGTAGGAGAGAGTGACACACAACCATAAAGTTGTGGAGAATAGTTATAACTGACGTGGTAACCAAGAGAACCAATAACTAACTCAGCACAATTTTTTTGTAACAGTCCTCATTTGGGCCGAAAAGGTAACATAGGGATCACATTTATT